CAGAGGAAAATGTGGTGGCCTATCATATTCTGCCCCAATGTGCCCTCCGACTATGTGAGTATTATAGGAAGGACAGGGCAAGTTAGATGTTGGGGCAGAATCTTTTAAAAGTCGTTCCTTGCAATTATTCAAAGGGGACCCTTTATCTGGCAGTATCCCCAATAGCTACTCTCCTCTAAGAATAAGAGGGAGGGAATCCCGCTCTCTTCTACAAAGAGAAACCCGGATAGGAAAGCCGAGAATGAATGTGGTCAAATTGGATGCGACTTTAGGTCCAAATGAATAGCTAGGCCACTATTTAGCAGTGAGACATTACTTTCGGGATGACAAAGTGGCGTATTCACTGGTTCCCTCTTAGCAGCTTATTATTGTTGTGCACGGCCCTAGCCCGCTTGGGTCACGACATGCCGTAGGTCACATGTGTTTAAGAGTGTCAGTCGTAAAGTTGTGGCAAGCACAACACAAATGAGTGAAGCCTGGCGACAACTGGGCTTGAGTGGGACGTTTCGCTTCCAACTACTCACTCAGCTATGTACATATGTGATGTCAGGTCTTTTGATGCTTCCGTAGACACATCATGTGTAATACACGGAGCTTATTGTTAATAAAGATCCGTACCTGCTCCCCCACGCCTGATGAGCGACATTTGCTTGTCATTGGCATCACAGATGAAAACGGAATAATTGAGTAACTTAGTAAGAAAGAGGAAAAAGGAGAAAAAGAAAGGGAACGACTCAACTCGTTCTAGAAGAGTTTGATTAAAAGGCTGGATTGAGCAATCAACTTGGATTAGGTTGTTCGGCTTTAGTGCTCTATTCATTTCGTATGATGCACCGGTCGAAACAGACATTTTTCTCTTCTCTTAGATCAACTAATGAAAACCCGGGAACGTGCCAGACCGACTTTCGTAGAATGAAAGGTGCAAAGTACTCCAGTAGGATTAGTAAGGAGAGAAGGGAAGGCGAAATGAGGATTATATAGGCGGGAATACTTCATTCTCTCTGCAGTAACCCACAGCACATTGCGGTTTACGAGTAATTAGTATTACTTTTTTGTTCGACTGGTAATGTGGAAGTTATAGACAGAGCTGAGATTTATATAAACTACGGGACATGCAAGAGAAATATTTATCAACAAAGTGGAACGTGCAAGATACTCCAACAGGATTGACAAGAAGATGGGGAAGGAAACATTGTGATCATACAAAGATTACTTCTATACTGCAGTAACTTACAGGTTCAGGAAAGAGTTAAGAAATATTCTGCCACACAATCATTTTTCCTATTTCGAAAGTTAAACAAATGGAGATATAATAAAATACCCTCTAAAGAACGGCATTAACAAAATGGAACCCTCAAAGTACTCCAGTAGAACTAGCAGAATAAGTGAAAGCAACTTCCAGATTGTATAAGGGAAAATGCATCATAAGATCACATCAACCTACAGTACAGTTGTTGACGACTCAATAGTAAGTCCACCTGTAAGTGTAAAGTCTTTTGGCGTTAATCAATCCCGTCTGAGGGATGCGCCCACGCACTTGACTTCTATTCAGAATCGTGGTGGCATATTGAATGCCTAGTGACCCATCAATGACTTGTGGTGGCCAGCCGATGTACAGATCAGAATTTTCATCCTTCCAGAGAAGCCTGCACCAATTAACCGATCTCAGAGGGATGAAAGGGTTGGTTGGCCTAGACGGATATCCATCTGGGATTCAAACCCGTGACCATGCGTGTGTGATAGCGCGCCATTTGCTACTACACCACGCCGCCCAATTCCGCTACTTTTAGGCATTTGTCCATTAATTATAATGTTATGGATATCGATAAAATCCGGTACCGATAAGTACGTGCTAAACCGAAGTAGCAAATGGAACGTGCAAAGTGCTTCAGTAGGATTAGCAGGAGGAGAGGAGAGAGCATCACTCGGATTCTTTAAGTAGAACCAGAAACGTTTGGAGTAGCCTTTACCAAGTTGCTTAAACTAATATTCGAGTGGTATTACACTTATTTAAGTAATAACCTAAAAGTTATTGATACAGATGGGATAATACACCCTACAGAACGTGCTAGATCAACATTACCAGTAGGGAGCGTTCAGTAGGATTAGCAGATGAGAGGACATTAAGATTCCATAAGCGGTGATGCCCCATAACTCCTGCAATAACTTACAGCCTACTGGTTATGACTCAGTAATTAATCATTTCGCAGTTGCTTAGCCCTGATTCTGTAAAGTATGGGCTTTGAGGACAAAACGTGAAGAGTTGTCGTTGAAGAGTAATGAGGGTGACGGAATGATGTTGCAAATGAGAGGGGGCCAACGGGCCAATTACATTTAGCCCTGAGGCGTGGAGAGAAGAATCGCACTACTTAGCCGTAGCACGTCAGCTGATGAAGTGGACAGCCGCCGCGATTCCCGGAACCGAGCCCAACCCATTTACGGCCACGAGAAGCATACTAATGAGCTTTTCACGTTCACAATAGGCATTAAACTGGGACTGGATCATAAAGGCCCCAGGAATGTATGGGAAAAGTAACGGCTGCCATTCGAAAACCGAACCAATAAAAAGGAATCAGCTGATGCCGAAAGTATGCCTAAAAAGGGGATATCAAAGTGAATCCGTAGCGTAAACGGATTGGGCAGCTTATGGCCCACGGGCGGATCAGATATCATGTTTCGAGTACCAGCTGCTTCGGGATTTAAGCCGCTCTTACGGCGTTCTGAGCTTGAGCACAGAAACTTCATCCCTGAGTAAAGGGGGAAACCACAGGACTTGAAGATTTCAGATATGAAGACCTCCCAAAAAAGGATCGATAAACACCTGCCTATGGAATGAATATTGATCGGTTCCTTTTTTGGGAGATTAACTTTAACCATAAAACTTCATCACATTTGCGTGGATGGATGATTTTACAATGCCCTGCTGATACCAACCACTTGTCAACGTTTTTATCCTCCCAGGCGGATCCGAAATCATTCAGCTGACACCTGGGTGTTGCAAAGTTTGATTGAGTTGGGGGCGTCTTGTTCTAGGGTTCAATATTTGGACCATGAGTCTTACAGCGGGGTTATTTGGCCTCTGCCGCAACTACTCATGGCCCTCTCAGCAGTTGAATTTAAAATTCTTTGGTTCAAATCCACACCATTTTGGGATATGACCCATCGTTCGATGACCAACTTCCCTACAGAATCGTGGTAACGTCGGGATGAGTTTTCAGCCAATCCATTGACTCACGAGACTAGCTAATGCATTTGCCGGACTTGGACCATTCTAGGCAAGTCTGGTACCAACTAGCCGACCCTTGAGGGCTGGATTGAGTGATAGGTCTAGACGTTTATCTATCCGGACCCAATATACATGAAATTTTAGTGATTTGTGGTCATGAGGGACGGGCCTTTTTGCCCGGGTTCTGTCAAAGCCTACCAATTCCTTGGCGGCTGACGGCAGTGCAGAGAGCTTGAAGTTTAAACAAGTTAATTGTAGTAAAGTGTAGTAAATAATGATACAACACATCAATGAAAAAACGTGAACAGTAGTAAATGCCAATCGTACTTCGACATGACTCTGCCAATGGACCCTAATTTCGGTGGTAACACAAAAAATCTGTGATGAAATAAAACTAGATTGAGAACGCTCTTGCTGTTACGTTAGCTGGTCCGCCAGAACATCGCTATTCATAAGGGAGACGACTCGTCCGCGGATTGCAATTAATTTTCTTCTGCTTGATGGACTGTTTCATTCAATTGCAATAGCTGGAGACAGCGGCGGTGATTACCGCTACACAGATGGCGAAATTTCAAATCGCTTGTCGAGTAATCGAGTAACAAACAAAAACTGCCAGAGAAGATTACTAACTAGTGAGCATTTGACTTACAAGAGGCTTCACAAATAGGACCGTCATTCAGTAGGTCTTTTGAAAGGTGCCGGAGTCACAAAGGGCCAACAATAGGGCGTCCTGAACCTCATAATCAAAAACTCTGGTATTCCATTTATGCCTTCTTTCACTTCAAATCGGATTGGAGGAAACTCTGCTGGAAAAATTTGAATGCAGACTTCCCGAACTTCGAGTTCAAGACCGTACTATTCACCTGAGCACTTTACAACTACAACTTCGGCAAAACACACTAAGGAAGGAGCGGAGGAACAGATTCTCCTAAGTAGCATAGGTTCTCCAGAGGAGATCTTCCCCAGAAGCCCTGACGCGATATCACTACAAAGATGGCTCATCTAGAGGCAGATCATCATGCCATTTCGTCAGCATAATTGACTGTTGTTCTTAGATCGCCCGTTCATGCTAATCCGCCTATATCAAAGGGTACGGAGTAATGGAAGCGTCCAGTCTGAGCAATTACCTATGCTTGGCTGAAGGGCCAGCTCGAGTAAATTAAAATCTTTGACATACTGTTCACTCGTGAATTGTGATGTGACCAAGGCCATTAGGTATGAATATAAAGCATATTAGCTTTTATTCTTCATTGAGGTGGTGCTTAAATGTCGACACATAGATGAATCTACTTTAGAGCGCCGCAGCTGCCAAATGAGAAACACAGCGCACACAAGCAGCGAGGCGTCTATGATTGGTGGATTACTCCGGTGACCAATAGAAGAACCGCTATGCATGCGCAGAATTCAGAAAGTTGCTTAAATTGTCTGATACAATTACAGCTTTTCAATGGTACCATCACCACAAACATTCCAATCCCTGGGAAATTGCTTTATGGACTGAATCGGACTGTTGTCAGCTTTCATTCATCCCACTTGCCATCTGACGCTATAATAGTTTTTCATTCTACCAGTAAACTTTACCAAAAAGCTCGTGGGCTCGTCAGCTTTTAAAAAGCCCCCTTTACAATGCTGCTGGCACAAGTCTCCTGATCTGGAACTTGTAACAGTCTACAGTGAGAATACAAAAAATCTTCATTAATTAAGGCAAGCATTTCAAATTATGTATATCACATTTGAGAATGAAACGGAGACTAACGTTCACAGAGCACTTCTTTTAAGACTTCGTGTACTTGAAGAAACCTTCACCAGACTTTCGCCCAAATTTGCCTTCCTTAACTAGTTTATCCAAGATTTTGCTCGGTTTAAAAAGAGCCTCCGATGGATACTGTTCCTGCCATCCTGGAAATATGCAACTTCAAAGTAATCACGACGATATTATTCAAAATTCTTAAAGTTTACTTTACAACTATACCCCGTCTACCAGGACTTTAAAGAAGTTGGCATTTGATACTGAAGGAGGTACATGATTTTGGCTTGGCGATGCTCAGGGGTATCCGAGGAGTCACCCAGCCGCGTCGCATATGCACGCATGAATGTTGGGTACTCCGAACGTCATTGCAGTAATGACAACAAAGTGAGAGTAGAGGGATAGCATTGCGTTAACGAATGAAAAACTTATAAAGCGCACAAATTCAAAACGCCATCAAGCAAACTTACCATCCATGATAAACTTTGTGGTATCAAGTCCAACATAGTCGCATAGTTCAAACGGTCCCATAGGATAACCAGCACCAAGTTTCATTGCTATGTCGATATCCTTAAAATGGTCCCATACAATCGTCATCGGAAAAGAAAAACTTGACAAACATCACCCAACAATCAGCCCGTATTGTTACAGAGTAGTAAAAAAGAAACCTTAGTTGATTGATTAGTGATAAAAGTAACTAATCAATCTCAGCGAATTAATCAATTAGACATTTCAAGAGCCAGAACTGTAAGAAACTGAACCATTGCTCTACATTGCCCTTGGGCTCACAAAACATCCTTGGCAAAACTTCTGAGTCTTCGGAGGATAGAGCCTGATGCCTAGATTGTTCCAATCATTCACTTTTGGACTAACCCCTTTTGGACTAAACTACAGCTTGCCCTATTATGTTAAATAAATACATCCTTAGCAGAGGAACTGTTAAATCAATTCAGAGATCGTAAAGAAGCCATAAATGGCAGAAAAAAAAGAGAAAATGCGATATTCAGTATGAAAGTAGGAAAATAATTTAAAAATCATTCAAAAATTACCTCCATAGAAGCATCACCACGTTCGGCCATTCGGCAGGCCTCGAACATATACGGTACAAGCAAACGATTCACAATGAAGCCTGGCGTGTCCTGAACATTCCAGTGAAAGAAGGTCCTTTTGAGAACGATGACAGAAAAACATTCAGAAAATGTATAAAAAAAACTTGCAAAAGTAGAAAAAAGTGGAAGTAAAACAAAAAGAAAAAGAAAAAATAAGACTTCTGACGAAGAAAATTTTGAAGGGAGAGCAGCTTCCAACCTTAACTTTATCGGTAAGCCTAGAACCCGGCACCTGATTCTGTATAAACCGTAAGCTCGCGTAAGCTCGCAATCGATCTTGAAATGTTTTTACAGGTTCATTCCATTCCCTGCTCTATTAACACTACTGAAGATGCTGTAACGAGGAGTCAGAATGCCGGCACATTCCCACCATCCTCGCAGTAATCAAGCTTTAGGTCCCGACTTGTACGAGATGTCGTGATGCAACAGAACTTTGTAAACAAAAGGCCCAGCCACTCCATTTCCTGACTCGAAGTCCCATTTCGATATGTCGCATACGTGATGGGTCGTAGAATCGCAAATTCAATAAGACTATGCTGTGAAAGGAAATGTGTTATCTGCGGAATTCCGCATCACTTCCATTTTGCTACCGCGACGTCACTGTAAGAACTGGGTTCCCTTACTAAAATTCCATTTGTGCAAAAGACAACCATTCATAGGAGGTGTTACTTTTTCTATTCATTGAAACAGTCAGCAATCACAGCAATACCCCTACACCACCCCGTGTCCTTTTTTGGAGCGTCGCCCATGTTGCCGGAGGGAGCTCGGGATGTCTTATGTGAAAGTTGAGGTAGCTTTTTAAACGTGCTGTTGGTACGCAACTGCAGATCGCAAAGAGTAGAAATAAAGGCGATTCCCATAGAGCCTCTTCCACATCCAACGTTGTTACACATAAACGTTCTTTGTACCCATGCCAAAAACCAGAACTTCAAAATTTGTAGCAGTTGAGAGATGAATTTCTCTATGAACGATGAAAGGAACATAAATCATATACCGAAGTGAACGATTCAATATGCACTGAACAAAAACTGACCTTGCACGCTACAGTCGTCTTTCCGATATTTCTGCCATATTCCATAAGGCTTTCAAACGTTTCCTTTGACGTCTCATCATGGCGAACAACCTGAACACAATATAATAAACATTGATATCAGTAATAAAATATATACAGTATTATTCATACATAAAAAGTACTGTTATAGTACTACTCTCTCATACTCTCATAAAAATTACAAAGATCGAAAAATGGGCGTAAAAAACGCTCAGCAACAACAACCCTAAATTCTAGCAGGTGTGTAAAATTACTTGTTGTTGTTGTTGTTGTTCACATTTGAAAAAAGTAGTTAAGTTACTGGAGCGACTGTAAACCAAGCTCGGCACATACCTCAAGAAGCTTCATAACCGGTACGGGATTGAAAAAGTGAAGTCCTCCAAAATTACTCTTCGATTTCAGGTTTTTAGCAATGTCAGCCAAACGAAGCGATGACGTATTCGTGGTCAGGATGGTATCGCTGGAAAGAATACCCTTCATTTCTAATAATTACCACGAAGTAATATATTCAAGCTGTAAAACGGGAAAGACTTACGGTTTTGCTACCTTTTCGACTTCACTGAACAATTTCCTCTTCGCATCAATATTTTCTACGATTGCTTCAATTACTAAATCAGCTTCTTTTACAGCCTTCTCGATCGAAGTAGTTGTGTGTAATCGAGACATAGAACCAGCTACAAGCGCTTCTTGAGCCTGTTAAAAAAACAATGGTAATAAATCAAGACTTAAGACGAAGTTGAGTAATTGCACATCAAACTCACAACAGCTGCGTGTAGCTACACCTTCTTGAGAGATATGTGGTGAAAAAGTCAATTTGATCAAACATAGTACTTAGAGAAACACTTTGCAGTCTCTTCAGTTGAATTCAGCTGTAATGCTACTTGTGCAACGCAAGCATGGTTACAATGCAGACGCGATGCGGCCGGTTGTCCGTTATTGGTCAACCTCTAACGCCGATCGCATTTCTCGTAGATTTCAGCGTTCGTTTGCGAGCAAACTAATGATGCTTTCAGACTGTTCAAAGCATTAATAAAGAAGGAGACGACACGCCTTCACAAAATCGCTCAAAAAGTTTTGCGCGGTGCACGCGTTCATGAAATGTCGGATATTCACAATTAAAAAGGGGAAAAGAATCAAAAAGATGCAGACTGTTTCTATACGGACCAATGGGTCAAGCTTACACCGCTCTACCCACGTCAAACCCAGCGGCTCTAACCACCAACAGGCGTCAATAACCTACCACGTGCTGTTGTAAGTTTAATGCGGAAGGACTGCACACCGAGCAACTTGGAACTCACGGTTTTATCGTCGGCGTGCTTTTTCTTGGCGACCCGACGCAAGTTGGTGTCAATGCTTTTACGAGCTTTATCCAGTAGTTCATCGGTTTGGTCCACTAATGAGACATTTAGTTTTGCAGTTGCCGTAACCTAAATTGGTTACTGATATTCGTACCACAGTAATGTCTGCTTGTAACTTAGCAAATAACCATTTCGATTACTAAATAGCAATTAGATTCCTCTCTCTTTCTTTTTCCTCTTTTGATTCTCTCTTTTGACATAAAAGCTGTGTATTCTCCCGGACGACTTTTAGCTCGAATTACTACAACGAAATATATCGCCCACTTGAAGAGCGGCCTGGCGCGCCCGTGGGAAAATCCCATCTCATTCTCANCTAATGAGGTAAGCTTCCTAACCAGTAATAGAGAGTAATCGTACTTACCTGAGCAATTCCCGAACCCATAAGACCAGCACCAATAATGGCCACATTGTTTACTTTGGAATATAGTGTACTTGTTGAGGAAAAACATCGACATAAAGATGAAGCCTTTGTCGACAACATCTGAAATCTTTACTAAATAGTAAATCTATCATTTACGCCGAACAGAAACGGGATCGAAACACAAAATAGTATAAAGCAGCACTGCACTGAGGAAGTTGAGTGAAGTTCAAATTTATTGCTATCTGAGCTACCCAGTCTAAAAATGTAACACATACGCGGCGCGTCAGTTTGACGTAAGCTGCTCACATGTGAAATCATAGCAGTTACCAAAATTAAGTGTAAAAAAAATAATAGCAAGCTCCCAATATCAATGCAACTACGGCCTTTTATAGCAACGTTGAGAGAAGTTACAGTTGACAGTAGAGTAGAAGTAGGAGTCCGGTTTAAGAGTGATAGCCTTTGCTGGACCCAACAACGGAAACGATCAGCTTTTTCGGAAAATGAAACGACAAGAAGAGAAACGGAGAAAAGTAACTGGTAAAGTACTCGAAGTAAATCTGACAAGTTCCATAGTACAAGGTAAAAGTCCACAGTACAAATGGACACTACTGACCGATACACAACTAGTACGAAAATAACGAGGTCGGAGAATTGACGTTCAAGCGTAGCCATGGTACAAAGTACACCGCCATGGTGTTTTCTGCTCTTATCTCACCGACCGATTTTCAAATCGCAGTGTTCCCGCGCGCGCCCAAGTTCCCCTTACGGAATTGTTCACAGGCTGGGATCGACAAATAGATCCTATTCAGTAGCCTTACAGCCAAATCCATGCTTATTTCATGATCTCTCCTTTTGTATAGAATATTGTCACAACTTCTGTTTAAAAACGCACAGACAAGAATTACTGTTTGTACGCTGCACTGTAGCAGTGGAGCGCGCTAATGGTCAAATGGGATCGAAAGGTGTTCGTTTACCGTCCCAGAGCTGATTGTTTTGAGAACCTACATACTTTATGGGAGCGACATAGCAGAGCGTCTCTTTACTAAGCAGTAGTGACTTGACTGATGTTAATACATGTGTTTATAGAACGCTTTTAGGCCAGAGGTGGTGTAGTGGCAAGTGCCGCATTATCACAGACGCATGGTCACGGGTTTGACCCCGGATCGATATCCGCCCGGGCCAACCACGCCTTTTATTCCCCGAAGTCGTTCATTTGGTAGCAGATCCGTGCCAGATCTGCCCTCTATTTTTGGCCATTAGCTTATCCTTGGCTTCCGTGGTAACCAATCCAAGCACCGGATCGAAGAGGAAGTTCTACAGTTGCAATCGAGCTCAACGAACTCAAAATTACAGCATAAACCTAAGTAGAGCTGCAAATCAGCGAAATCGAAATGCTCAAATATAGGGGGGTTGTTCCTGAAAGTATCATTACGGCCTTAAAATTTCTATATCTCTTGTGCT